CTTTTCCTATTTGGATACCCCTGATTGCCTTCTCTTCTCTGATTGCTCTAGCCAGGACTTCCAATACTATATTGAACAGGAGGGGTGAGAGTGGGCATCCTTGTCTTGTTCCAGTTTTCAGGGGGAAATGGTTTCAATTTTTGTCCATTTAGGAGTATGCTGACTGTGGGTTTCTTGTAGATGGCTTTTACTACTTTGAGGTATGTTCTCTGTATGCCTAGATGTTCTAGGGTTTCTACCAAGAAGGGGTGTTGAATTTTATCAAAGGCTTTTCTGCATCTAGTGATATAATCATATGGTTTTTGTTTTGACATCTGTTGATGTATTTAATTACATTTATTGTTTTACGAATGTTGAACCAGGCTTGCATCCCGGGGATGAAGCCTACTTGATCATGATGGATAATTTTTGAGATGTGTTGCTGAATCTGGTTTGCTAGGATCTTTTTGAGAATTTTGGCATCTATGTTCATCCAAGATATTGGCCTGTAGTTCTCTTTCTTTGTTGAGTCTTTACCTGGTTTGGGTTTCAATGTGATGTCAGCTTCATAAAATGATTTAGGGAGAGTTCCATCTTTCTCAATCACCTGGAATACCTTCAGTAGGATTGGTATCAATTCCTCCTTAAATGTCTTGTAGAATTCTGCTGGAAAATCATCTGGTCCAGGGCTTTTTTTTTTTTGTAGGTAGTTTTCTTATTACCTAGTCAATTTTCTTGATTGTTATTGGTCTATTTAGGGTCTCAATTTCTTCTTGTTTCAACCTAGGTAGGTTTTGTGATGTCAGAAAGTACTCCATTTTCTTAAGGTTTTCAAGTTTGTTTCCACAGAAGTGTACATAATAGTCTCTAATGATCGTTTGTATTTCTTCAGGGTCAGATGTGACTTCATCTTTTGTGTTTCTGATTGTATTTATTTGGGCTTTTTCTCATTTTTTCTTGGTCAGTCTAGCTAGGGGACCATCGATCTTGTTTATCCTTTCTAAGAAACAACTTTTTGTTTCATTGATTTTTTTGTATTATCTTTTTGTCTTCTATGTCCTGGATTTG